ATTATAACATTGGGAAACTTACAAGAGACAAATAAAAAAAAGAAAATAAAAATGGCCAATATCAAAGTAGCAGAGGCCAAAATATCCAGACATTTAGCTCCTAATATGTGAGAAGCCTTAAGAACCCTAGAACCCACACTTTACCTATTGCATCATTTTGGTGGACTCCACATGTTCTGTTTATAACTCAGACTTCTTATTATGAATTTCTTGAAGCCCAAGTCAAGATAACTCTGATCTCCAGAGCCACAAAGCCATTGCACAACTGTGTACTGGCATTTCCTGTGACCAGTAAACCAGTCTGGATGTGTAAAATCTGGAGTGTCCCTGAAGTCACATCCAGGCTGCGGATATTACAACATGGACTGCAAGCAGGGAAGTAATCTGCTGGCCTGCCTCCATTTCTGACACTAGTGGACAAGTATTCTGATGTAAAAGCCCTACGTTCAAAATCCTTAGCATTAGTTCTCGTTTGCAGTAAAACATCCCCTGTGACTGATAGGTTATTAAATATGACATTATCAGGAATTTTTTTAAGCCACAACATACAATCCCTAGATCAGACAGTTTTTTAAATAACTGGCTTCTTGCTATATAGTATACTTCCTACAGATTATCTAAACATGTGCAAACTGTCTCAGGACTACCACACTCACATAATCCATCTGGATGTTTCCCTTCTATCTGCAGACATTTGTTTAACCCACAGTGCCCCAACCTCAGTCTAGTGAACTTAACGGAATCCCTGTGATTTCCATAAGAATAAATGGTTTTCCTAATAGTGGGCTAAAATTAAAATCATGGCTCCCTCTGACTTCTTTTTCCCCATGGATTTTGCCACTCCCTCTCAATACCTTCTTTGATTTTACTTCTGTACTCAACCTTCCCATAAGGACAGTTAATATTTATTTCTTCTTTCTGAAAAGCTGACTTTGCAATACTGTCCACAATTTCATTGCCCCTGAACCCTATATGCCCAGGAACCCAGCACAATTGGACTTCACATCATAAGTTTTCAATTCTAAACAAAGTAATTAAAATCACAGTAATAATATCTGGTTGAGATCTAGGCCTCCTTTCAATTAGATTAGATTACATTAGATTAGATTCAACTTTATCATTAGGTGTGCCAGGAGTAGGCGCTCGAAGCACTTCATGACAGTGAGTACAGTTATGTGACAGTAAAGCTGCAGAGGAGTCAGAACAAATAAGAACTTGATCCGGTCTTACAACTTCTATCCAGTATAAAGCCCAGAGAATCACTAACAATTGAGAAGAGAAAACAGAAATATCACTATTAACTCAATATACAAGTTTTACCTCTAACTATGGCACATACACCCCAAATCCTGTCTTTCCATTTTCTGGGTTTTTAGAGCCATCAGTATAGATCTTCAAAAATGATCCAGCTGTTTTATTCAGATATTCATCTGCATAAAAACTAAATTCACTAGAATCCTTTTCTAGGAGTACCCAGGGCACATCACATGCCTGTTCACGTTTCAAATAGATTTTCCTCACTCAGCAACACACCCGCTGAGAAAACAACTCTAGTAATAGTCGGAAATGTGAAGCTAGACAACCACTGGTTGTCTAGGTGATGTCCAGAAAACAACTCGAGCTTCATAGGCAACTGGAAAACATTTTGGGGAAAACCTGATCTGATTAGCAGAGACAGCATCCATCCCACTTTGGATGGTGTGGCTCTCGTATCTAGAAATCTGTTGAGACCAGGACGCAGTGTTGCAGTCTTACATGTCTCGCTGCATCTATTTGCAGCTGCTACCCACCCAGAACTCCCAGTACCCCATAGAGACTGTGTCTCTATGGGGTACCACCCCACCTGGTCACAGTAACTGTCACATCCCTTGAAACACAGGCCGAAGTGGTGGTGTGGCAGCGATCTTTGACTCAAACATATGAATCAACCCTAGACCTAAACATAGTTATAACTCATATGAAAGCCTCAATTTGAGTCTCTCACACTCAAACTGGAAAACTCCAAAACCAGTTCAGAGTTCAGAGTTTTTGAATTCTCAGACTTTCTGTCTGATTTAGTGCTTAGTACAGATAAAATAATCAGTGTGTGACTTTAATATTCATGTAGATGCTGACAATGACAGCCTCAACAATGTATTCGGTTCATTATTAGACTCAAAAGCCTTCTACACCCTTGATCTTGTTCTGACATATGGCATCGAAATCGAACACTTTTTCCTCAAAACCTTCTTCTGTCTGACCATTTTCTAATTACTTTTGAGTTTACATTAATGAATTATACACTATTTAGGGAAAAAAGTCTGTTACAGTAGATGTCTATCTGACAACGCTGTTACCAAGTTTAAGGAAATAATTCCATCATTATTTACTTCAGTGCCATTTGCCAACACAGTGGAAGGAGGCCATTTTAACTTTACTTAAAGATAGTTTAATAACATATAAAAAGCCCTTCGTAGTGCCAGAACCGCATTTTATTCATTACTAATAGAGCAAAATAAGAACAACCCCAGGTTTCTTTCACAAAGAGCCACAGTGCTGTTGAGCTTAACATTCCCTTAGATCTCAGTAGTAATGACTTCATGAGCTTCTTTATAAATAGAGAACATCTGTAAAACCTCATTTATACCTGGACTACTTCTCTCCCATAGATCTCTCTGAGTTGACCTCAACAATTGCTTCATCTACATAAATCATCAACATTTCTCCTGGTCTCCTCTATCAGTCAGGATTTAGAGTCCATCATAGTACAAAAACTACACTGGTGAAAGTCACCAACGATCTTCTCCTAGCCTCGGACAAAGGACTTGTCTCCATACTTGTCCTCTTAGATCTTAGTGCTGCTTTTGACACCAATGATCACAGCATCTTACTGCAGAGAATTGAACATGTTATTGGGATTAAAGGAACTGCGCTAAGTTGGTTCAGATCTTATTTATCAGAAAGATTCAAATTTGTTCATGTTAATGATGAATCTTCCACACAAACTGAAGTTAGTCACGGCATTCCACAGGGCTCTGTGTTAGGTCCAATTCTCTTCACTTTATACATGCTCCCTTTAGGCAATATTATCAGGAAGCACAACATAAATTTCCATTGCTACGCAGATGATACTCAGTTATATTGGGTTTTTCCTCTATAATAATAGTAAAGTGTAGTAATACTAAGTACTTTGTAAAGTGTCTTGAGATTAATTTTGTTGTGATTTGGTGATATACAAATAAAATTTAATTGAAACTTGAACTGATATATACTTGTTTTAGGCAGGGATCCTGGTATATTGCTATTAGCCATCCCTGGTAGGCTAGTGGTTAAGGTGCAGTGCTCTAGCCACTGCGCACTGGGTTCGAATCAGGGTTGCGTGAGGAAGGGCATCCGGCGTAAAACACGTGCCAAATGTCAACATGCGAGTCGTCAGTGTGACGATTCACTGTGGCGACCCCTAAACGGGAAAAGCCGAAGGTGACTACTATCCTGGTATATTGCTATTACATTTACCCTTCACTGTGAAGGTGGCTTTGCTTATTTACACAGTGCAGCTCTAAAAGGCACATTTCATTGAAGCAATACCTAAAATCACTTCTGTACATTTTCTTCTTCCCCCTGCTGAAGTACTAATGCGTGAGAAAAAGAAAGACAAAGAAAACCTGACTTCAGTTCAAGATAAGGTCCTGAATTGTTAACACATCTTCACTCCCCTTCCCAGCCAAAATGCTGCAGGTGAAAGTGAAACTAACTTTAAGTTTTATGCTGAAATTCTCAGGAATGGTGAGTCTAGTTGGGAGTTTCTGAGGTGATATGGGGCCAGTTCATCACTTTGGCCAAAGAATCAGCCATCATGTGTTTGGGATTAGACTGATTCGATGTTAGAAATGTGACATTGATGGAGCTAAAAGCCTTTAGCACCACCAGGGCTGGTGTCATATTTTCCTGGAGGACCTCATGTACCATGTCAAAATAAATACTATAAGAGAATAGAAGAGTTTTTGTTAAGATGATGAATGACAGTTGTGAACATGTAGACCACAACTCAAATCCACACTATAAATTAGGCATTAGTGTTTGGTCGTAAACCAAAGTGGATAAATAAAAATGCTGCTCTGATGATAGTGCTAGGGTCAGATTTATTATTCATGCTGAGGAGACATGAATGCGGCAGCTGCGGCTCAGGAGGAAGTGCAGTCATCCCCTACCTGGAAGGTCAGCGGTTAGATTCCCGTTTTCACCTGTTCACATGTCAAAGTGTCCTTGGGCAAGTCACTGAACCCCAAGTTGCTCCTGATGGCCAGTGTAGCACCTTGCAGGGACACGGCTGCCATCGGTGAGTTGGTACCACACATATGGTTGCCTTGGTTCTGTTCGAGAGACAAATTCTTTGTGTGTGTAACATGCTTGGCCAATAAAAGTGATTATTATTATCAATGTCTGGACAGCCTTTTATGGCAATCCATCCAGTAGTAGCTAATACAGAGGTCCAGTCTGTACCAAAGTGGCGGACAAACTAACATTCCCATCCACACCATTCATTTCATTGTAGTTTATATTAACAACCTCAGTGGTGGGGAAGAAACCAAGGAAATCATACTTAATTAGGACCTTATTTTAATCAATTATGATAATAACTAAGATGTGTGATGCTCTGACGGTGCCAAAGAACTCTAGACAAGTGAAAACACCTTATTGCTCATTTAGGAAGTGAAGTGAAGACTTGGCAGCTTAAACTGTTATCTCTCTTTAAGAAAAAAGAGCTAAAGCTCTTTTTTCATCTCAGCTCCTTCTTTCTCCTTTAAGTTGAGTCAGCCATGGTTGTGAATGAGTCACATCCTCTAAACGCATGACCCTGAGAAA